TCTCTCTCGCGCGCACACGCACGCATATATAGACAGTGAGCGAGAGGCGGAGGTGCTCACAGTAGTGGCGGTGCAGCCCAGCACGGTAAATCTCGGCTTATTTCACTTTGGTTCAGCACGAATGTAGCACGACAAGGAAGCAGCCGGAAGCTCACGCGGATTTTGTGCACGTTGTTTGTGTTTGTTTATTTTTGGTTTGTTGATTTGCTCTAACCACAGAGCTCGGCGGCTGGACAGTAATGTTTGTGTCTAAACGCTTGTTCGGAGACAAAATACGGAATTATTGGAGGCAGTGAATTCTTCATACTGCTATCGAACCAGGTAAGAAAATATAGAAATATTTTATTATTATTATTAAACTCCACAGAGTGTCATGCTGTAGACTCAGATCAACTCAGCTCATCTCCACTCACCTACAGACGAACTTTCCTATAAAATCCCAGGGCTGCAGAGGTAGCGAGAAGTTTCCATTCAGAATTACACTGTTCTGGTGTAAGCAAAGTAATTCGTACCCTGGCGCAAGTCCATATGAGATTAGCACAGATGTTGAGTGACCCTCCCTTGAATAATCCCTGCAGATTTAATTGATTTCGCCCTCGTCGCTGCTGCTGCTCTGGGTGGTGGTGCTGTGCTAAGATGCTGACCATTACCACAACCACCACAGCCCCACTGAAACCTAAATTCTATTAAGGTACAACATGTACAGTATCCGAGCCTTGACTGACTTTTGACCCTAATCTTTCCGTGATCATTTAAAAGGAACCCATAGTGTGGTGTAACATTGATGTCAGCATGCTCACAAGTGGAACTGAGGATGAATCACTCTGTCCGTGTGTGTATCACCCCCACCAGAGCTACAACAGAGTTAATTGGTGTGCCTGTCAGTCAGAATTTGAACTGTTAGTGATTGTCTAGGAGCTTAATGACCAACAAGTCAGTTATATAGAACGGTGCTTTTCTTTACCCATGCTTCTTGCTCACAGCCTCTGATATCTGGGAAGTCATTCTTCCATCGTTAACTATAGAGAATTTTAAAATGAACTCTTCAATTGTGTGGACAGCTGGGTACAGTGATGAAAACCACCCAGAAGAGACCAAGGACCGCCCCATTAGTCAGACATCATGTACAATGAGCATCGGCCTGGTGGTTCAGTGAAGAGAAACCCCTGTGACTGTGTTGTTTTATAAAGCACTCATCGGACGAGAGCACAATTTCCCCTCAAACAGGTTTTCAGGTGTATTAGTGCAACAGCAGTAAGGCTTTAGATGGAAGTTTTGCAGATCCAGCCAAATGAAGCTCTAATTAAGTGTGAAATTACCTCAGCGCAGGATATGTATCAATTATAATTGCAATTTCTTTGCTTTTTTTCCATTTACTGTATCCGCCGGTGTTTTTGATTGCAGTCTACCCCGGTGCAGTCTCACAGGAAAATAAGCCTCCTTAATGGCCAGTGTCGTCCTGGCAGCAGCCAGCGACTCTGTCAAGAGTGACAGAGCACAGAAGAGGCGCTAAAAATACAGTGGCATAGGTGCATTTTGAGGCACCGGCATTAAAATTTCATCCCTCACTTCCTGTAGGAAGTATTGAAGAAATGTCATCAAGGTCATTTTTATTTTATGTCTCTCCAAGAAAACAAGCTTAGAGAGCAGCAGAAAGGTAAAGTGTGTGTTACTTTTCTGTTTGATGCGCCAGACATTTGACAGGGAACGTCCAGTGGTGGGCTGTCTCCTCGTCTGAGCAGTTGGAGCAGCACTTATACTCCTTACTGCGACTTGTTGTGTCACATAATATCATGTTAGTGCTGTTCTTGCTGCAACATGGGTGTTCCTCGTTAATCTTTGTTGTTTTTGTTATTATTATCTGTCTGTCAGCTGCTCTTAGGCTAGCAGTGTTAAAAGTCCTGGTTCTTTCTCTTATCTGTGTTATTCTAGAACGTCTCCATGTTGGCCATGGGGTGGGGTGGGGGTGGGGTGGGCACCAATGTGTTGTTGTGATTAAATACTGTAGATGCCAGTAGGCATTTAAGAATAAGTGGGTCTACATCAAGTTAGTACACAAACAAGTGGTTTTATGTTGTTAAAGACTAGACCTGGGAGAATGAATTGCTTTAATGATCCATAGCGATTGTCTCCTGAATGATAAAATTAAAAAAAAAAAAAAAAGATTATTTAATAATGACATTCCTCCCTCTCTAACATCCATGGGAAAACTGTGACCCAGAGACTGGTTATAGCCTGTTTGACTTTTTAATCTGGCCCACCCACATTAAATTATCATAGGACTTCTGACATTTTGTGTTTTTCCTGTAATGACCGCATCTCCCCAATAGATGGTGCTCGCCATGGGTGAGGTACATTCTCTCACTCTTTAATGATTATTTAATAATGACATTCCTCCCTCTCTAACATCCATGGGAAAACTGTGACCCAGAGACTGGTTATAGCCTGTTTGACTTTTTAATCTGGCCCACCCACATTAAATTATCATAGGACTTCTGACATTTTGTGTTTTTCCTGTAATGACCGCATCTCCCCAATAGATGGTGCTCGCCATGGGTGAGGTACATTCTCTCACTCTCTATGTCACTGTTTTCCTTTCCCTTTGGTTTCAGCTTCGAACCCTCCAGTAAAAATGAACACATCAAAGTTTTTTTAATTGATCTGCGTGCTGCTGTCACAAAGACTAACATAGACACATTTGCAGTAAATAAATAATAGTTTTCAGACCAGTTGAGTGATACTATAATTTTCTGTGTCACTGTGCCACTGTGACAGCTGCTTTTGTTGGATTCGCCATATGGAAAAACCTTAGGGATAACATTCTAATGTATTTATTTCTGTCACATATATGTCCACTGCTGCCTCTTAATACACTCATCCATTATCCTGCAAAAGTGGGTGCAAATGCAACTTTTCTTTTGGTTCCTTATCTATAACTGACATTATTACAGACGACAACACTATGCTGCTTATCCACCGTAATGTTGTTTACACACTGCTTTAGCAGACATCTGACGGCACTCTAAAACAACATTTAGCTAAACGCTTCCCTCCTGGGGGGGCAGGGGTGGGGGTAAAATACCAAGGGCTCAGAAAAAGGGCAGTTTAAGGGTAGAGATTAGTGCTGGGTGTTGCTAAGAATCTCACAATTCAATTCGAAATGGATCTTTTAGGTCATGAGTAGTTTCATACCCTTTTGATGGTGTAACTCATAGCATTTTTGAGCAGTAGAACATCTCAGTGTAAAGCTTCAGCACAATAATATTAATACCAAATATGGCATTCAAAAGTATATATATATCCAAGGTTCCTCTAATTAAGTAAACTATATTCATTGGATTCAACTCTTTTCCTCAGAAGTGTTTAACCCTCCATTTCTATTGTATGCCACTCCCTGTATACGCACAGCAGCAAACAGTAAGCATTAAAACAAACAGTGGCAGTTGTTGAGCCACACCACTGCTGCTTCTGCCTTTTTCGCCTCACTCTGCTAGAATCTGTTGGAAGTGTAGTGCTATGAAATTTCCCGCAGCAGCATAATGGATGAGGAAGCTGCACACCGCTGATACAACTGTTGCTTTGCAGTTTTTATATAGACATTTCATGATTTGCTGACGTCTGGCATCACAGGTGTTTGACAACTTGGGATGAGACTCATGACAAAAGTCTTGCTCGTTCAGTAAGATGGGAGTAACTTAAGGTTCATCCAAAGCTTGTATTAAAGCTTTGATTAAATTGTGTTCTAAGATCATGCTACTGGACAGAAATGTTTATTTTTCTTTTACTTTTTCAGAACTAACTGATGAAGAGATTGTATTTAATAAGGCCAGAAAAGGACATTACAAAACTAGAACTGAAAAGAAAACAGAATCAAATAAATATGTATTCAGACTTCTGTGCTTACGGGTAAAAGAAAAGAAGAAAAAATAAGAAAAGAAGTCATAGTGAAGTTTGAGATGGAAGTACACTCTTACTTTTACTTGTGTTCTTTGTGCAGGGAATTCTTGACATCCTTATATCAAAAATATTGGTCTGTGTTCATAGCTAAAATAAAGAAGAATGTATGACTGGAGTCAGTCAACGTCTTTTAAGATTTCTGATGTTCAACAGAAGTGTGCAGGCGCCCCCACTTTGGGAACCACTGGTTTAACTGATTTAGATATTGTTACAGTGATACAAGAGGAGAACTTTAAGGTGAGAAAAGAAGTTAATTTTCTACATTGGGTTTGCTGCATGGTTAAATGTACCGGAGAAAGACGTCTGAACGATTTAATTCTTCTCGATGATGCATTCGAATTGAAAGCAAATTTCTTTTTTAGATAGACATGATTTTTAACTTGAGGTTAGTTGTACTCACCGCTGGGTGTGGCTGCTGTGAGAGCCACCGGTCTCTCTTCATTTAGCACAATGTAAAAACTCCATACACCAGAACCTTCAGCTAGAGCTTTGTCATTTCCTGAAGACTTCAAAAAAATCAGGTTGAATGCCTTGATTTTTACTGTGGATAATATATAGGAAGCCACTGTCTTTGTGTTGGAACTGTGCAACAGCAGATTGTTGCTTCATGCTGAACCATGACTCAGCACAGAGAGAAGAAGAAACTAAAATCACAAATGATTAAACTTAAACTGCAGGTAAAGCTCGGGCAGATTTTTGAACAACCGTTGGTTATTTGGTGTTCTTGAACCACAAACACAAAAACACTGAAGTATTTCTGTGGTTTTTCTGACTCATCTCTTTGCTTCTGAGTAGTCGCACTTCAATAAGATGGTGACTTCAACGTCTGTGCAGAAAAACTCGAAAATTACGGAAAGTGTAAAACATGGAAATTAGGACATCAGATGTAAATTTGAGAAATAATCTAAGATTATTTTAACCACAATAACAATATCAGTTTTTTTGTTTTGATTCTACAATGCAAATTGTTATTATTGCCCTCAAATTGTTTTTTTTAAACCTGTATCTGTATAGATTATACAATATATAATATATAGGAATATAGAGGATATATAGTCTAATGTTTAGACTACTGATGTTAAATTAAGTGCTGGAAAAACGAGGTTCATTCTTGTGTATCTATATGACATTAGACTCTAATGTCATATAGATTTCCTTACACATTTTGATCCTCTTCCTGCAGTGTGAAAATATATACAGTAAAATGAGCTTCATTTTTTTTTCCTTACACATTTTAATCCTCTTCCTGCAGTGTGAAAATATATGCATATTGTTTGTGTGGATTGTGGATGACCCGTCTGTCTATTCCCTGTACTGATGGGAATACATTTGCAAGGATACACTGAGCTCTTTCCTTAGTCTCA